TCACGGGAGGGGTGGAAGTGAAAGCATGCTGCACCAGTGAACTGTAAAAAAAAAGGATTTTGTTCTTCTCCAGAAGTTTTGTCAACCTAGGCTTTGAGACTTTTTTCACAGACTTTCAATTTTGAGCCCCATAAAAGCAAAAAGAAAAAACAAGGGGAAACAAACCAACCCAAAAAGCAAAGCAGATCAAAACAAAACAAACAGGAAAAAAAAAATACATCGCATGTCACTTACTTCTGTGCAAGAATATGTGGCTTGTCCCTGTCACCAGTTGCCCATCCATTAGCCTAACTGACCCGAGGCCCAGACACTGAATTACCCTCTGCTTCCTGCTCAGAAAGTGGTGCTTCAGAGCTGCTTCCTGCTGCAAGTGGCAGAGAAATTTCCAGAGACTTCAGCCACATAAACAACCAAAGCATTTGTCTCTTCTCCACAAAGCCCTTGCCCCACAGAAGTTTGGTGGGGAAAAACAGCTTGGAAGGGAAAAATAGGAACAACTCCTTGAATGGAGGGTGAGTTGTCCTGCCATAAGCAGTTATGCAGTTTTAGGTCACTATGGGGACAAACAAACAAACAGTGAAAGACATTGAATTTTTCAAAGGTGTGTCCCTAAAATTCCACATGCCTCCAACCATAATTACATGTCTAGGAGTGGACGGATGCATCCAAGGCACATTAGGCTAGTCTGGAGCTTGACAGCAATGAACCTACTCCTCCAGTTTTCTTAACATCAGCATCCAGCCAAGCTACAATAAAGCTGCTTTTGGGATGTCCATGCACGCCAAATTCACACCTCCTGTTTATAGATGGACATAGCCAAATACAAGGCACATGTCCCTAGATTCCAGCAAAAGTTGCAACATTTTGGGCATACTCTTTAAAATAGAGTAATTCAGATCTCTACGTTTAGGCAACTCTGTCTGAAAATGGGTGGGGTTGTGCTTTCTTCTTCCTACTTCTATGCCTGTTCTCACTTGACACAATTATTATTTAATTTCTAGCTGGAAGGTTAGATTTTGTCTTTGTAGGGCCACTTGCAAACCAGCATGTTTTCTGGGGTCTACACATGAAGTATGTGTTATGGTAAATGTATTTCTGGTTTTGCATGTCACTTACATGAAAAGTGGTGGCATTCAGTGTCCAATGCATGCTGTCTCATTTTCTTGAAGCGGCATCTTGAACGTGCTTCCGTGTGTGCCTCAGCAAGGTTTATCAGTGTGGTGGTGGTGTGTGCCTCAGGAAAGCCACACTAAGGCCAAGGATGCAGGCTGCTACAATGGGGCAGTCTGCAATGTAGACAGAACTGAAGGTAGCATCCACCCTTGCCTTAGATGCTGAGGTGCTTGTAGTCCCACCTGTAGCACAGAGGTGTGGCCAGGAGCAGGTACAGCTGCTGGGTGCCACGTTCCAGATGTATTCTGCGTGGCATGTTGACCACTTGCAGACTTATCAAGCTACATTAGCAAGAAAGCACATAACCAGTGTTCCCAGGGCCAGCCCTTATCTCCCCTCAGGTCTGAATAATTTGAATAATTAGTTTGAATAATTTATCAAACAAAAGACATTTTGGCTACTGCTGTGTTGCAGTTGCTCTGGCCTCTAGCTGGATTCCTCATCTGGGTTTCCTGGGAGGCCCTGAAAGAGCCAGAGAGCCTTGGAGAGTCGTGAGAGGTCAGGGAGGAAAGGGGAAGGGGCTTGTCCAGTTTCTCTGCTACTTCTTCGTGTCTTATTTTCAATGAGCTTTTGGTGACCAGAGGAGTAGATACACAAACAAAATCTCGTTGTCCCTGTTTGGCCAAGGCTTCGTGTCCCCTCCTATTGTACAGACCATTCCCAGGGACTCTTCATGGATACAGAGCTTCCCCTGCATGCAGACTGCAGCAGGAAGAGGCTGCAGGGAAGCCGGAGGACAAGGCCAATTCAGGAACACTTTTTTGAAGTAAACCAGGTGAGGATGCTGAAACAGAGGGCAGGGTAGCTTTAGAAGCCATTGCATACTGTTTTCAGAAGCCAGGGAGTTTTCCAGATTGAAACTGTCTCTGGGGGCTGAGGAAATCCCATCCTGCACCAACTGAATTACATTAATATGTTTAGCTTGTCTCACTAGCTCCTCATGGCTCAGCACTGATAGTCTCTGGTGCAAAATGGACTATGCTACATACTCAACAAGTCTAAAGGATAATACAAATGTTGGACAGAGATCACAGCCTAAAAGGCTGAATAAGAAAGCTGCCATCCCTTGAATCACTGGAGTTTTGGTTTTGTAACCAGGCATCTGTATCCCATAGCTATCACAGTAACCATATATTAACATGAATCTTTCTCTTGGATTTTAGGTGACTGTCTTTCTTCTGTGCTCAGGTTGATTTTTCTCTCAGAGGTTTTGCATGGCATCTTCCAGTGACAATCCATTTGGGAAAGACTCATCAAAGTTCGAAATAGGAAAATCAGTGTAGCAAAGTACACATGACAATGTACATGCTGTGCTGGTATAGTCACCTCTCATCTTTTCTAGCTCTCACTTACCCAGACACCTACCATTTTCAATGATTCTTGGTTCTAGTTTTTATTTGAACTTATGAGAGGATTAGTTTCACCAACACCACCCATATAAGTAATTTGAATGAGATGAAAAGCCCTGCATTTGTTGAATGACTCTCTAGAGTAAAGTTATTCTTGTGCTTAAATGTTTACAGGTTCAGGGCCCCATTCAAGTATCTGGACTGTAAAGAAGTTTTTTTTCCTATTGGCCATGTCCCCTGGTACTATAGGGATGGCAATTCATACAGTGAAGCAGCACTTCCTGCAGCATTATTCTAGTTAACAAGATTATACTGACAGATAGGCAAAGCACTGGAGGATTGTGTCCCACTTAGAAAACACAGTGTAAATTCTGAAATCTCACTGGGGTCACTCAGGGAGTTAAAAACACTTTGTGCTTTTGAAATATGCAGTTCCCTGTGGATGCCCAACAGTCACAACATGAAAACTCCTTGCTGCCAGCTGCTCAGTCCTCTGTGTGCACTGACCAGCCAAGAGGTTTGTGTTTGAGGGGTCAGCCTCCCTCGTTTACTTCCCTTCCTCAGGACACTGCAGGGGAGAAGGAGGCAGGGGACATGGCAAGTGCCAAAGGTCCTGGGGAAGGCTAGCATTCGTGTGTCTTGGCTTCGATATACTTAGGGCAAACAGTGGGTATTTGTTCCCATAACACTCAAGCATCAAAATAATTTTCAACAATTAAACCAGCCACCTCCCTTCAAAACACTCACTTTATAGCAATGACTGTGCATGAAAAGAGAGCCCAAGTGGTATTGCAGTAAGCTCTAGCAGCACATCATCTGACTAAATTTCAGAAGTCACTTGTTAAAATCAATATAGTGGCATATTTCTACAGTTGCATTTTGTAAGTTCATGTAGAAATCCAGAAAACACTAAAGTGAGCTACCAGTGATGTTACTGTGTTCTATAGATCCTTAATAACTTCATATAAATAGTTTTCAACTTACCCTTGTAATTTCTTTTTTTGTTGTTGACTAGCTCAGCTGCATTTGAGGCAAACGGTTCTTGCAGGTCATCCATCCCCTATCATTTTTTTTTCTCTTTGTAGTCAAACCCAACAAAACCAGCATCATCAAAAATAGTTATCAAAACTGTCTTTTTTTAGCACTAGGTACCCTTGGTTCTCACCAGGTATTTGTCACTAGCACAGAAACCTTATGTGCAGCGTAGTCTCAGCAAAGGTCAGTTGTTGAACTCACTGCCAGAATTCCCAAAATCACTTAGAAATATCGACGACCTGACCTGCAGTACAATGGATGTGGGGATATTAATGAAGGCTGCCAATATTCTGGTTTAAGAGCTCATAAGAATAACAAGTACATATTTTATTTGCATGGTGTCGACTTGCCTCTTGAATCACATGAGTCTTCTTTGACTTTCCATGGATTTTATTGGATCCCTGGGAAAAACTTGGCTTCTCCCACTCCCTGTATCTTTCTGTGAGCAACAGGGGTGTAATTTCAAAGGAAATTACACTCAACCTCCAGTACAGTAAAACAGCTGGAATTGCATTGCATGCAAAATAAAATCACTGCTTCATTAACTTAGTCATTTGTGGACCAACTCTTAAGCATATTTGCAGGGAAAGAGGAAAAGGTGACATATAAAAACACATATGTGTGTATGTGTGCACAGTCATGTATGCACTGTGTGTTTCTATTTACCTGATTATCTACCTGTTTAGCTATGTATCTCTCTTTGCAGATTTATTTACTTCTCCCAGAGGCTTTACAGTTATGCGTATGGATAATGAGTCAATAACCGTGTGTTTATTTTTCCTGAAGGAGAACCCCACAAATTTCTCTTTAACAGTCACTGTTTAGTAATTTTGATTAAAAGGTATAGTTCCAGTTGGGGGGGCTCATATTTGTGAAACAAACCCAACATTTGGTGTGAGATGGGAATGGTTACTGACGTGGGGAGCATCCCACAGAAAGCAGGATGTGCTGGGGAGTGGGAAGGTGACTCTCGCGGGCCGTTGTTGGATCCCATCAACTGAGATGTGGCCAGTTGGGGTGATGGGTCCATGCTACATGATTAGAAGACTCCCATTGTGCGGACTCAGCACCGACACCGTCCGACAAACCCGGTGGGATGAAGTCGCTGCCAGCAGGAAGATCAGCGTGTCCCACCGACAGTGGCCCATGGGGCTGGCACGGGGATCTTTTCTACTGAGGGGATTTTAAGAAACTCCAAAAACGCACACGACGAAGCACCAGACGACGCTGAATTTCAGTGTTGAGGCTCGCCTGCCGCCGAGCTGGAAGGAGGGAGAGCTCCTGGGGCCCCTCCAAACCAGGGCATCCCCGGCGGGATGCGCCGGGAGGACCGAGGGGGCGGGGCCACGGCGGGATGGGCGGGGCCTCGCCCCCCGAGCCCCGCCCCGGGCACAAGAGGGGCGGCGCCGCTCCCCGGGGTCCCGCATCCCCCGAGCCGTGCGGGGCGAGCGGAGCGGAGCAGTTTGGCTCGGCTTGGCTCGGCTCGGCTCGGTTGCCGTCCGGCAGAGGGTCCTCTTTGCTCCCCGCAGCCCCGGCGGCCGCGGGATGGAGCTCGGTGCGGCGCGGCTGCTGGCGGTCCTGCTGTGCCTGGCTCCCGGTAAGCCCTCGGGGATCCCCGCGGTCCCGTGTGTGTCGGGGAGCCGCCGGCGTCCGGCAGCCCCACGGGACCGCGAGGAGTGGGGTGGCGGAGATGAGCGGGTGCCGAGGGCGGCGCGGGTGCGGGTTTGCCGTGGAGTTGTCAGGGCTGGTTGAGCGGATGCATCAGTGCGAGCCCCGGGTGGGAAGGGACCCCCTGGCTGCGGGCTTGCCGACCTCTCCTGTCTTGCTCTCTCCTGTCCTGTCCTCTTGGTCTCTCCTGTCCGGCCGGCTGGTGCTGGCTCGTCGGAGAGGACTGCCTGCCATGGCATAGTGTCCTACTCGCTTGGCTCCAGCATCAGCTGCCGTTTCCGAGAGCAAAATGTCCCTGAAACCAAACGCGGGAAACCCGTCATCAGCGAAGAACCTGCTCGGAATGCAAGTGATTAAAGCACAGGGAAATACTAGCGAAGTAGGGAAGGTCGCGGTCTGTCCGCGCGTTCTCGTTGCCCGCTGTAGCCGGTCGAGCTGTCCCGGCTGGGGCTGCCGGCTTGCCCTGGTGAGGCGGGATTCCTGACGGTGATGGGAGCATCCACGGCGGACTGAAAATCGCTCTTTGTGGTACTCTCAGATGTTGCAGAGGCTGGGCTGGTGCCTCAGTGCAAGCACTGCCACCCAGATAGCCAGTGCCTCTGGGTGGGTGCGATGCAAGCCCCTGTGCTAATAGTCTGGTAGTAATAGATTTTTGCCGAACTGCTTAGGAGGAAAGAAATAACCTTAGGAGATCATGGGATCTCGAATTTGTGACAAACTTTAAAATAGTTTCTTCACATAATTCATTGGTCAGCAGTCTCAAAGAACTAAAGTATATTCAATTTATTGTAAGAAAAGTTGGTAATCCCCAAGGGAGTGAGATCATCACATGAAGGTTCACTTCGTTTCAATGTCCCACATCCTCTTGTTAGACCTTGAAGTTGGCAATGCAAGAAAACAGGAACTCCACCCTGGCTGGCTGAATTGTAGTGCTCTCCAGCTAGCTCCTGACCATCTGCCTTTGCTTCCTGTTATGACAGAGTTTTTGAACTTTTTGGGATATGTGAAAAGTCATTATTTACCCTTCACTGCTAAGTAGCTGATGTGAGTGTCCACTTAAAACATACTGCATATTCCTAGATATAATACTTTCCTGATTGAGTAGCATTTACTTTGCTTATTGAGTTGATTTAAATTACGTGTTTTTGCAGGTTTATTTATTTCTTTGGATCAGCCAACCCTTAGCATCCAAAAAGATGTCCTCACAATAACGGCAAATGACACACTAAATATTACTTGCAGGTAAGGACAAATCTGTTTAGCATGATTTTGATGATTGGTAATTTATGTAGAGAGTTTTTGTACAGAATCACAAATAATGTGATCTGTCATTACTCCTATTTCTCCCCACTCCCTTTGTACCCCCTGCCTCACTTTTCCCTGGCAGGCTTTAGAAATTGTCTGAGAGAGTTGTAACAAGAGAGAACTGGGGAGTGCAGGGTGGCTAGGAGGAGGAAGCATCAGCTGGGTCCTTGTGGAGCCCGCTGGTGAGCCGTACTCTCCATGCTCTCTTCTGGGTGCTTTGTCACTTAGATTCATCAGAATGTAAATTTCCAGCAGCTTCCTTATAGCTGTTGACAATAGGTTGATTTGACTTGATGCTCTGTGTGACAGGGTGAAGTCTGTTCCTGTCCATAGCGACTAGTGGGGCTGGGGTTCACCACCCAGATACCAGTACTGCTGCTTATCACATACATATGCTCCTCTAACATTTGCTTTCCCAGCGGTCAGAGGCCACTGGAGTGGTCCTGGCCAAGCAACCAGAGCAGTGCTGAGAAGCGTATCTCTGTGACAGACTGCAGTGATGGCCCCTACTGCAAGACACTTACTCTTCTCAAAGTCATTGGCAATGACACGGGGGACTACAGATGCCTTTACAGGGACAATCAGGCAGCTACAACCATTTATGTTTATGTTCAAGGTAAGTGCTTACACAGCTCTCAGGTGTCTTTTTCCATAGCTTTAAGACAAAAAAGGCATATCAAGTGTCTCAAAACAGTTCTGATGCTAGAATGTATTAATCCTAGAACTTTTGATCCTGTGAAACTTTTTCCTTGTTTTCATGTTGAGTAATTAAGTGTCAGTATTCTAGTTGCCCTCAACACAAAAGCAAAGCCTTTGTACTTATAATTTGAACTGACTTACTGTATGCAGTACATGGTCTGCTATTCTCCTTCACCCAGAATTTAGCATACATACCTCCACTGAGCTCTGAGCCTGTCCTCATGAGTGCAGAGCTATTACTGACCTGAGCAGGAGTTTTTTATGAGAGAGGATTACAGAGATTCTGCATTTGTTAAAAAATGGCAGATCCAATCCCATTTACAATTTGTACTGATACCATTAAATAACCTCAAAAAGCCACCCAAACCCCAAAACATAAACTTCCATACATTTGCTGACTGTGGTGGTAAAACCTATTTATGCTGTAAGAGCTCAGTTTTCAAACTCAGGCTGTGAGTTTTGCTGGCGGCAGTGCAGCTGAGTGTCACAGACACTGAAAAGCCTCCCGTTATACGCTCAGCTTCAGTATGTGCATCCACTGAGGCTTCTGCCTTTTTTGCACTTACGGCTTCACCCTCATTTCCATATGTGTCCTGTTTCCTTTTCATTGTTAACTTAAAGTTACCATTTTGAGAAATGAAATGATATTATGTACATGAGTTACCTTGTTTTATATCATGAAGTTACTTTTTTTTTGTCTGACTTTGAAAAGGATGCTGCCATCAGGGGACCCAATGTAACATGTCACTACTTTTAACTGATATTTCCTGTAATACTTATGCAAGGAAAGTCATGCTAGGGTAAATCAGTTTTTTGTTGGCAAAAGGACTGCAGTGGCAGGAAGCCATTTTCCAAAGTGTGCACTGCTGCTGATAACCATTTTGAGAATACCGATATTCTAAGTCTGGGGGATGGGGTGTCTATCAAAATATGTACTCCTCATTTAGTCTTATTATTTCAATGTTTCACCACATAGAAAATAATAAAACTGATTTGAGAAAATTGAACAGGGAAAGAACAAAACTGCAAAAGTTTTCTCCATGATCATGTGACAAGTAAGTCCACTTATCAATTAAATATTCTTCTAGATTACAGATCGCCGTTTGTGACTTCAGTTAGTGATCAGCTTGGCATTGTGTACATCACTAAGAATAAAACTGTAGTAGTGCCGTGCCTTGGAACTGTATCAAATCTCAATGTATCTCTACATGCGGTAAGGAAAGAGCTTGTTATTTTTTCAAAAGTTACTTGAAATCACTGCGGCATAAATACATTGCTTGAAGTATAAATATGTTTCTTAAAAACTTCTTTCCATCCTTGGGAATTTTACAGCCTGTGGTTGCAAGGTGAGTGCTGTAACTGTACTCGTCTATGGTCCTGTGCCTTCAAAGTGCATACCAATTGCCTGAGCTGGGATGTTAAAAGGGGGACCGTGCGGTTATGGAAAATGTTGGAGGTGAAAATTCAGGGTTGTTTGATTTGTGAAATCTGACTGTATATTTTATCAACATTTCAAACAGAAATATCCAGAAAAGATATTTGTTCCTGATGGTAAATCCATTTCGTGGAATAATAAAAAAGGCTTCACTATACCCAGTCATTTAATCAACTATGCGGGCATGGTCTTCTGTGAAGCTAAAATAGATGATGAAAGCTACCAGTCTGTGATATACATAGTCGCAGTTGTAGGTAAGCCAAAGTTTTTTATTTCTCTGTAGCCAATGTTCTTTCTCTTGCTACAGCATACTGAACCAATTACATTCAGTTGGACACTAGGTTATTCAATACTGACAATGCAGCTAATGCAAAATGGATGTTGAGATATATATTACTTTTCTTTTAAATGCAATGTATTGTGTTCTTTCTGGTTGATCGTTGGGTTAAGTGCTTCTATTTTTAGTGTTTTACATAAATGCCAGGGATTTTAATGGTTTGGTGGGGGGTTTTTTCTGACAATGCAAGCCTGTTTCCTAAAATCAGTTATCCAGGATGCAAGTCATAGTTGAGGGGAACTAGAGGCAAGCATCCATCAGCAGCAGATGGAAAGAAATTGCTCTGAGGGGGTACCAAGGGAAGGGGGGTGATCCGAAGGTCGCACTAAGGGCTGGGTTGTCTTATCTCCTTAAAGACCTGTGTCCCAACTCTCACAGGGGTTTGTGCTCTCCTGGTATATTTTGTCAGTTGCTCATCAAAACCCAGAAATAACACAATGATTCTGTGGAGGCTTAAGCCTGAGCTGAAACTCAGCAACTATTTCTCTTTTAGCTGAGGACACAGTGACCATTTCAAGTGTCCAAATGGCACCAAGGCACTCTTGCCTGACTTGTCAGGAAGGCATAGCAGCCCTCTGCTCTTTACTCTGTGCAGCAGGTGCTTGCTTGTCTACCAAATTCACAAGTCCCCACTCTGATTTGGAGAAAATTCAGAATGTCTGTAGAACTTTTGCATTCAGAATATTCTGTTCTGAAATATTTTAAATATTTTATTGCACAAAGTAAATTTTGGATAATCTTGTGAATGCCCAACTGTTATTTTATATAAAGTTCTTGCTTGCTGTTGGGGATGGGTATGCATCTCCTTTAGTTTTAGTTCTCATAAGGATAAGAAAATTGTGTCTAAAGCAGAGGAACTGTGTGTGTCACAGTTCCCTGCCTGCTCCCACCACTGATGGGCCTATGATCAAGTGTATACATCCTACTGTGTCACTGTCTGACACAGCTCTCTGCTGGGAAATGCTCAGGGTGGGCACATCCCTTCTCTTCAGGCTCCTTTGTACACCCATCATCATGCTGCACTGGGGCATCGAGGGGCTTTTTTGTAGCTGGGGTTTCAGGGGGAATTTTGGTGGATTGATCTGGGAAATTTGGTGCTGAGTGCCATAAAGAAACCTTTTCTTACCTCCATGTTTTGTGTGTGCCTTTTTCTGCCTCTAGGATACCGAATTTATGACCTGACAATGAACCCCCACTCCCAAGTAGAGCTGGCAGTGGGAGAAAAACTTGTTCTCAATTGCACTGTAAGGACAGAGCTGAATGTAGGAATTGATTTTAAATGGGACTACCCTTCCATCAAGGTAAAGTCATAATAACTTACACGTGCCCACATCACAACAAAATTTGATTTAGGTATAATGTCACTTCCCCCTTAAAATGTTGACAAAGCAGATGATAATACAAAAGAAATTGCTGGTGTATTGTATACAAGTATGCAAGTATATTTGTATACAAGTGTGCAAAAGGTGGCAGAAGGAATAACAATGACATTTCCAAACACCTCTGTCTTTTATCTATTACAGGAAAAACGTGCCACTATTAGGGATGTAAAGACCACTGCAGGAGAAATAAAGAAGTTTGTAAGCACACTCACCATTGACAGTGTGTCCTTAAGCGACAAAGGTCGATACACTTGCGCAGCATCCAGTGGTCGTATGAACATGAAAAACAGCAGTGACTTCATTATCCATGGTATGACATCTTCTGCTTCAGTTTTGTTTGTTGTTTTAGATTCAGGATTAGTTACTGGGATGCAGAAGGTGATGAATCAAATGACCCAAATGAACCAAACTATGGCTGCAGTATTTTCTCTTGCAACTACTATGCGATTACTTTTTATACCACAATCTTAGCTAGTAAGGTTTCAAAGGGTGCTGTGTGTTAGTGAAAGCTGTAGAATCCCATTGGAAAGTGGGCAGTAAACTAAACTGGTATAAGACTCTGATTCTCTTCAGTGTTGACATTCCTAAGGTCCTGTAAAGCTGAATTTGTGTAGGTGGCTTTGTATAAGGCTGCCTATTCTCACCGTTGGTGACCTTAAGCTAGATTTTGGTGGCTCTGCAAGACAGGAGTCTGGGTCAGCATGAATGAAGCTAGGAAAATAAAACTTTCAGCTTTTACGTTATGAATAGATTAATCAAATGGAGTTTGGGTCATACGGAAATGATGCATAGGAAACAACTTTGGCTAAGTGCATAGATAAGTACGAGGCCACATCCTACAGCCTGTTCTCAAGCCCCTGTTGGGCACAGCCCCAGCAGCTCCATTGGTTTTCTTCTAGAAAAAAATTGCCAGCATGAGAATGGCTCATTTTTAATCACTGAGTCAGACAAAGGAGTTTATATTTTGGAGGAGACTGGTTTTCCTGAAGTTCTGATTTCAGGGGCCAGAATATTAATGACCCTTTTTAAATAAACCAAAAAACTTTCAAAATTATTACAGGCACAGTGATTCAAGATATACTGAATTTTCTCCTGGCTTCTTTGTTTTGATCCAGGAGCCAAAATGAGATTGTGTGCTATACTGAGTGTACCAGACACTAAGTCTGTACCATCCTAAATCTGAGTCAAAAGGGTAATTGAGTCAAAAGCCTAATCACTGTCTGAATGCAAGTTCACAGATATTCACAGATATTCACAGAATATTCTGAGTTGGAAGGGACCCCCAAAGTTTATAATTTATACCAAGTAATGTAAACAATTTCAAAATCCTCTGTGACTGCAGTGGTTCAAATACATACTTGAAAAGAGGCTGAAAGTATCTAACTTTATCATACTGTAGTTTTGAATACTTTGATTTCTTGGAACGAGTATATTGAGTAGAGTTTTATGATATATCTGTATATATGTATACAGGTCTGACACTAGGTCTGACAGCTGGCATACCATCCTGAGAGCTGAGACCTGTCTCTGCTTTCCAGAGCTTCTTGGTGGGGGATCTGGTCTGTTCCTCTGTGTGAAGAAAAGGACTAGGTTTTCACCGTGGCATCTTTTCAGAGCCCAGTTTGGAGCCAACTGTGCTTTTCCAGTGACATCTTGTCACTAGCTTCTATTTGTCATCTCCTGTTAAGTGCTAACCCAAATGGAGAGCACTTACACTTTTGTCCATGTGGAAAGACCATTTAGTTTAATTTTTTTTTTTTTCCCATCCAGAAAGTCCTTTTATTAATCTGGAGAGAATGGAGAATGTGATTGAGACAAGGCTAGGTGACACAGTCAAAATTCCTGTAAAGTTTAAAGGATATCCTTCACCAGAGGCTAAATGGTAAGAACTGGCATATAATATGTTTGAGAAACTGAGCTGTTCTTGGTTAAAAAAAAATCTTTAAATATTCAAAGCACTCTATATTTTCTTCAGGTATAAAAATGGAAAAGCCATCAATGCAAATCATACAGTTAAACTTGGATACACATTAGTGATCACTGCAGCAGCTGAAAGGGATGCTGGGAATTACACAGTCGTCCTTACAAACCCTATTAACAAGATGCAGAAAAGACATACGTTTGCCCTGCTAGTGAATGGTAAGTGGAATACCAAAGAGGTGCCTCTCTTTCACGTGTGGATGTGGTATACTATCATCCCTAGGCTTAAATTCATCCCATAGCTCCGAAGATTTAAGTGCCAAAGAACAGCACTTGAACCTCTGCCCTGGGAGGACAGAGGTGGCCCATCTCTCCCGGCTCTAGGATGTGCCAGTCAAGAGGCTGTAGACTCCTGGTGTTGGGATGATACTTTGTATGTTTTGGTTTGGGTTTTTTTCTGTATATTATTCTTTGCCTCTGTGTCCTGCTCTTTTCCTGCTCTTCTTGCTGGTTGTGCTGGTGGAGTCCTCCTCCACCCCGCTCCATCCTGGCCCAGTCCTGCCTCACCCATCCTTCCTGCCTCACACAGGCTATCCCCCCTCTGCTGTCCCACCCTGTACAACCCTCCTCCTCCTCCTCTACCTCCTCCTTTCTGGTACCCAGGAAGCAGCCTATACTTTGAAGACAGCAGGTCTTGAAAAGGGCAGTGAGGCTACGTGCAGTGGAATCAGGCCTGGGGAATAATATACATTTAGGGCATGGTGGTGAGAGTCCAGGGGCTGCATTTTTAACCATGGAGTAATGAAGGGAGATTTTATAGGAGATCCTAAGTATTGTATGTTGAGGTCCTGATCCTCAAAGTGTTGGGCAGGTTTATTGCTTCCCAACAAGTCCTTGAAAATGCTCTGCGTTGCACCTGGATGTGGGTCATGGTGTGAATTATTCACCATGGGTCTAATGCATGCATGCTGGGGAGCAATTAGCAGGAGGTGTAACCTGCTGCTCTCTCCTGCAGTCCCCCCCCAGATTGGCGAGAACGCGCTGATGGCCCCTGTGGACTCCTACAAGTACGGCTCGACACAGGCACTCACCTGCACAGTCTACGCTGTCCCACCGCCCACCGCCATCCTCTGGCACTGGCAGCTGGAGGAGGAGTGCACATTCAGCCCCCAGTGAGTGCCAAGTCCTTGCAATCCTCTGCAGCGTATGTAGGTCTTGAGGGATGGTTGGGTTGGGTTGGGGTTTTTTTGGGTGCCTCCTTTATTCAGGCTTGTTACTCGGTGCAAACCCAATGGCCAATGAAGAAAAGATTGTTGTATTTAATTTGCAGATTGTTGCAGGCAGGCTCTGCCAAGGTCATTGTTGTTGGCAGAGGGAAGGGCCACCCACAGCGAGGTTCCGGCAGTGCCTGCACTGTTGCTGTCATGCTCTCTTGAAGGGCATCTCGACTTGCATGGGGTTTCAAATGCAGCTGTTTGTGTACCCTCCCCTCAGATATCCCCGTGGGCTGCAGGCCCAAAACTCCATCCCAAACAGAGGAAATTTGCTGTTTATGCTAATTACAGGTCCTTGCGGTGTTTTTTTTCTTACACTCAAGTGCTGAATGTGATGGTGCTCTTTATCTGTGTGAAAGTGTATCTCAGAGGAAGTGCACTGATTGATGTTGTGGAATGATAGAGAGAGTGCCTGACTGAGATTCACGCAGCTTCTCTTATCTGGGCCTGCCATAAGCCCAGATTTCCTTTTAAAAAAAAAAAAAAAAAGAGGCCAGCGAAAAAAAAAGCATTCTTCTTTCCTGTTGTTGTTTTTAAAATGATTCCACTAGTTTCTTCCTTTGGTGCCTGGTTGCTTCCTACACAATGGCTACTGTCCTCAAGAAATTCTTGTAGGGAGTTCAGCAATTTCTATGTCTCTCTGTCTTCCTTTGAACTAAATCAATTTGAGTCATCCATTTGTGAATGGAGGTTTGTTCCCAGAATAGCTGCTTTCCTCCAAGCATCACGATTAAGCTGACACAGGCAGATTAATTAGGAAATTCACCTTTAGGCTTGGGGCGTCCTTGCTTTACAAAGGATGAAAGTCTCAGAATATGGGGTGCAATTTAATAGAGATGTTTCCAGAAACACTCCCAGATGCAGGGTATGGCCAGTGATGCATCTGACTTAAAAAATCTGTATATTATAAGAAGCACACAAAATCACTCTCTTGAAGGGCAAACATTTGTCTTATCTAATGCATATGTCTACTTTTATTTCAGGAAAGTTCGCTCAGGAGCCAATCCATATGCATGCAAGAAATGGAAAGTCATCTCAGAGAGAAAGGGTGGGAATCAGATTGAAATTAAGAACCGAGTCGTTACTATTGCTGGGAAAACAAAGGTTAGCATATTTTATTTTCTCTTGGTTGGAAATGATTAACCCTGTTCAGCAGTCCTTGTGTCTGGAAATATATCCCTAGAGACTCTTTTCACCTATTGTTAAAATTTGGGATCTACTCTCAGCTAGCCCTGAAAGCTCCTACTAAAGCCAAGAGGTAGAGATATACTCTTTCAGATCCTTTGGACACTGACCTGAAGGGAGTTTCCATTGAGGAACATAACTTACTTAAGATTTCAGTGCTTACCTTTTAGTGGTCTGAAGTTAGATGAGTTAATCTTGCCAATTAACTTTAATAGAGAGAAACTGGAGAGACTGAAGAGCAGAAAAAGTTGTGGGTGCAGCATCTGTTAACACCTATACCAAAGTCCACCTTCTGGCAGGCTGCTTTTTCCTGTTTTCTGTTGCCTGATTGTTACACATTTACGGACAAAAATGTGAACTTCAGGATGGGCTGTGCTCCTACCATGTCTTGGATTTGTGCTTTGGAGGGATTTTTGATTGTGCAGACAACTGCAGAGCCCTTTGCCAAGCTGTTGAGGTGATCAGGCATACTTTAGGACTGATAACAGCATGAAATTGCTTGATTGTTCTTTTGCAGACTGTGAGCACCCTCGTGATTCAAGCAGCGAATGTATCTGCTTTGTACAGATGTATGGCTACAAACAGGGCTGGGTCAAGTGAGAGAGTGATCTCCTTCCATGTGACCAGTAAGTGTACCCTGTTGAGGACTGCCATGTTAAAATAATGTTATTTCATCTGTTTCAGGCACTTCAACACTGGTTTTTCCTATCCTTTATAAAATCCTTTAATTCTGTAGGATTTTAGGTTTTCCTGAGGTTTTCTTTAGGCAGCCTTCAAAGTCACTGCCTAATTTGAGCCAAGTGATTAGTTCAACTGGTATCAGTGGAGTGGTGGTCCTGTGAAAACGATGCAAAATGGGCACTGTTTTCCCAAGAGTGATTATTGTTGGCCTTTCGCAGTCACTTAAAAGAGCTACAGAGAAATCATGGTAGTGTCACAAAATGAGTAAAGACTCTAAGAGCTAAGACTAAAATTTCCAAAACCAGTGGCAAAGAGCTTCTGTTCTTAAAAATCAGTCCCCATATTCCCGTGCCAAAATTTATTTTAATCCAAATAAAAATGGGCTATAAGATAGTGCTAAGAACTGTCTTCAGTTGCTATAAGTTTCTATGGGAAGAGTAACTTTATTCATTACTCAGGCCTTCCTTTGATCTATTTGAAATGTATTGCTTTTAATGAGATTGTACTCCTTAGCTAATTGATTAGTTGACTGATTGATTGGTTTTTTTCAGCCTTTTTTTTCTCATTTACAACTAGATAGCATGACAAAAAGTATGTATTTCCAAAATTACTTTTTCAAGTTAACATTAGCCACAAAATGCGCAACCAAATAGGAATTTCTTTTACTTTTTAACTTTCAGGGGGTCTTGAAATTAGTCTCCAGCCTCGGAATCAACTGACAGAGAAGGATAACATGTCCTTGCAATGCACAGCAGATAAATTCACCTTTGAGAAGTTGGCATGGTACAAACTCAGCACTCATGTTTCACAGACTCCCTTCGGAGGACTGCCCATGCCTGTTTGCAAAAACCTCAATGCTCTCCAGAAGCTGAACGAGACAGTTTCAAATACCAATGGTGAAAATGTCACCTTAGAGCTCATCCTTCGTAACATCTCCCTCCAGGATGGAGGGGACTATGTTTGCATTGCTCAGGACAAAAAAGCTAAAACACAGCACTGCCTAGTGAAGCACCTCACTGTTCAAGGTAGGGATCTCTTACTGTGAACAAAAATGAGTGGCTGTGCATGAAAATAACTGCAGTAGTGTCAGTTTTTGGTATCTTCAGGCTTTGTATATGTTTGCTTTATGGTGCGCTCAGTTTATTAAATAGTTTTAGACTGTTATTGTAACGTGCACTTCTGGGGCAGTTCACAGTCCCCAGGCAGCAGGGACTATTTCATGAGTACCAGTGAGGAAACACTGACAGAGACACTGTGCTGTGCACAGTGAGTTTGGCCTCTTCACAAGTAATGGCATGTGTTTAGCTCAATAACTTCTCCACTTCACTTTTCAAAACACACTTTTTTCTGTAGGTCTACATGCACGTGTGCATTCACAGCGTTAATGCTACTGCTTTGTGTCACTGACTCTTGAGTCTGAAGCAGTGTCTATAATTTAAAACTGCCATGAAGTGGTACAGGTATTCAGGCACAAGCAATGCGAGCTGATAATCAGTCAGCTTTGCACACAAATAGTGATGACTTAGCTTTGGGACCTAGATGTCTAGGTTGATTATGCGTTTTCACGGCCTATCCTGAATGGACATTTAATGGATCAACAGTATCAGACCTCTTGCCATGGCCATGGAGATAGAAACGTGAAGGAAGCAATTTCTCAACTATTCCCTCTTCCCTCAGCAGTCTAAGCAGTTACAAACCCATTAGAGCAGGTTATATCAACACTGTTGAAATTTTCTTGGCTATTATGTTTTTATCACGTCATGTGGAATTTTAACTATGATCTGGAGTTGTTTTCAATGGTCTGTAATTTTATCGTATTTGTAAACCAACAGAACCCACAGCACCCACACTTGTAGGAAATCTGGAAAATCAAACAACAAATGTTGGTGAAACTATAGAAGTGTCATGCACAGTGAATGGCATTCCTCCTCCAATTATCACGTGGTTTAAAAATAACGAGACCCTTGTGGAAGATTCAGGTGAGGATTGCTCCTTTGCTATTATCATTTAAAGGCTTCCTTTCCTGGGACTCACTGCTGATGTTCACCATGGAAAGTTTAATTTTGAATTTTTAACAAAAAGTGGCATAAAAAAGTGGCATAAAAATGGCATAAAAAGAACTAAGAATCATATTTTTTTCCAGGCATTGTTTTGAAAGATGGAAACAAAACACTAACCATACGCCGAGTGAGGAAAGAGGATGGAGGGCTATACACCTGCCTTGCATGCAATATCCTTGGATGCAGTAAAGCAGTGGCTTTTTTCTCAGTGGAAGGTTAGTGTTAGCTTCTTTGTAAACCACGTTTTTTCATGCCACAGCTGAATCATGTCAATAGACAAGGGAGAGATTGTTCTCTGGGTCATTCTCACAGCACTTTATTTACTATATGATGGAGGTGCTTTTTGGTTTCTGGAGAAACAGTAGTTAATTTGGGGTACTTCAAAACAATTATTTCTATTCAAAATGTGAGATTTTAGTTTTTTACATTTACCAAGGGTCCAGACACTGTCCTTGAAACAAAGTTGATACTGAGAAATTGGGTGATGTGCAAAACAGCATGAAACCGTAATATTCCAACACAACCCGCCAAGCTTTTTATTTTGTTTTGCTTTCGTTTCCTTGCTCCATGTTGCACTTTTAAAACGAACCTTCTGAACAAGGACCTCCATTCTTTACTTTAATGAATGAACAAAACAAATATGCTTCCAACTATCACTCAAATATTCATTTATTTCTTCCCAGGCGCTGAAGAGAAAACAAATCTGGAGCTCATTATCCTCGTTGGCACTGCAGTGATTGCCATGTTCTTCTGGTTGCTTCTTGTAATCATCCTCCGAACCGTTAAGCGGGTAATGAAAAAATTCTCATACTGTCCTATCAGCACTGGTCTTGCATGACAAATGAGAGCTGACTTGAGGCCTTTTGTGTTGCTTCTTTCCATTGTTCTAAAATCAACAGACACATTTTTTCACTCCATGCCATAACATTCTTGCCTGGAACCCAGGGCACAGAAATTTGTTTTTAATTGAACAGGCCCTCGCAAGAGAAAAAATGTTTCATTTGATTTTGTTTATTAAAAAAAAAAAAAAAGAAAAAAAGAAAAAAAAAAGAAAAAAGTGCAAGTAATTAACAGTGATCACACTTATGATGACATGGTGTAGGGAAACAGTAGCCTGGCATTTCTGGGAACTAATGAAACACTACAAAGTGATAAAATGGCACTTTGCCTGCACATTGCCAGCAAAAAATCTGTGCAACTGCAACTAATACCATTTTCCAGGCCAACGGAGGGGACATGAAGACTGGCTACTTGTCAATCATCATGGATCCTGATGAAGTCCCTATAGACGAGCACTGTGAACGGCTCCCGTATGATGCCAGCAAGTGGGAGTTTCCCAGAGACCGGCTAAAGCTAGGTATGTCTTCACTGCATGAGCCATTTAGTGATATTGCAGCCAGCCCTATGCTGGGGGCTGTTTCATGAAGGTCCTGGCTTGCCATGGGGCTGCCCTGCTGCAGGATCCCCAGGTGGACTCTGTGTACCCATAGAATATGATGCATCCTTTCTACATTATAAGATCTTTGTTAATGTCTGATACCCCAACTCAGTTTGGAGTTGCTTTTTATTCTACACCTTTTGCCCGCTGTGCCAAGCAAATACATTTATGTTCTCACTTCAAGGTAAACCTCTTGGGCGTGGAGCTTTTGGCCAGGTCATAGAAGCAGATGCATTTGGGATTGACAAAACTGCTACCTGCAAAACAGTGGCCGTCAAAATGCTTAAAGGTAAAAATAATGACTAAAACTTCACCTTGTATACACAATATAGGGAAATTGTCAATACTACAATCAGTAGATTAAAAAAAAAAAAAAATCAAAATGTTTGTACCAGTAGTTATACAAGTTTAGCTTAGCAGTTGTTACCGTGAAGCAATTATTAGGGGAAGTACATGCCTTTCCCTCACAAATAACTGGAGCACTGTGACTATGGTTTCATAGCCATTGCTTTATGGTTCTACTCAGGTTCAGAAGATAAAGTTGCTCCTGCAATCAATTTTGTGTACATTTTTGCCTTATGTGTCTTGGTGGGGAGCTTTCTGCAAGTCTCTAGACAATGGCTTAGGCACGCTCCAAAATGAGCTGTAGTTTGGAATAGCTTTCTCCTCACTTTAAATCATATTATACTGCCTCACATTTGCCACAGAAATGTTGAAATGTGCGGTTCCCACACATGTTATTCCTAAAAAAGACATAACTGGTACAGCAAAATGGGTCTACTAGCACCTGGGGGTCTGTCTTCCACCCTGTGCTGTACTGGAAGAAGGACGAGAAAGACAAGGGATTTCTATGGTGCAGTGTGAGCAGTCAGAAGCACACTGTTCTATGTGTTGCAGAGCTGTTGCAGACTCGTTGCAATGGGATGAACATGCCGTACTCTCAGTAAAAATTGGAAAACCCTGTCCCTCCATCTTCCCAGTGCTCAGGCAACCATCAGAGAGATGCCTCCTCTGCCCCTCTCTCTCCAGTGCTTCAGCTCTTTCCTCTTCCCCTTCTATATCTGGGCAATGAGGATGCCAGCCATGTCTCCAGGCTTTTGGTGAGGCTGCAGGCATGTTTGGCCCTGGCTCTGTCTCCCCCAGTCTGTGGACCCATTGGACCTTAGGATGGACCCCAGCAACGACTATGGGACAATGTTTCTGTGAGGGTCAAACAACAGAGTACAAACTGTTCAAAAGATCTGTAGGAAAAAAGATGTTTGCTAACCTGGGTTGTTTGTGTCCCTGTTCTCATGTACTGCCTTTGGCAAGCTTTGGGAAACATTTAAAAGCAGAGCAAACCCAACCCTGTCAGGCATGTGCCTAGTTTTCATCACTGCCTTGCAGCATAGCTGACCCAGACTACCAGCCAACAAGGCTTCTCACGAGATGGGCTGGATAAAGAAGAGAAGAGAATGGGGAGGAGGGCAGAACCTTCCTGTCTGCGATGCTCCTGATCTGTGTTGTTTTACCTCTGCAGAAGGGGCAACCCATAGTGAGCACAGAGCACTCATGTCAGAGCTGAAGATACTCATTCATATTGGTCATCATCTCAATGTTGTCAATTTACTTGGAGCCTGCACTAAGCCAGGAGGTGAGTAACTTCTCAGTGGGTGTTAAAGAAAACCCTATTTCTGCCATTTCTGCTATATAGAAAATTGAGTTTCAAAATTAAGGGTTGGAAGAAATAATCCTTTTAAAAAAAATCTGATAAGGGTGAGCAGGTCCAAAGGTGGAATAAGGGCTCAGAAGCCCTGGGTTCAACCTGCAGTTCCATTCCTTAGTTGTTCTATCACTTTGGTTTTCTGTACTTCAGATTCACCTTTCCAGTGGACACCTCACATGTAACAGACTTTGGAGCTGAGTCTAATAACACATTTAACAATTTGCTCTTCCTCTTGTCATCAGCTACACTATCACTGCAAGTTGTGACTTCCCCTCTCTGAATGGATTGCTGGTGCCTCTGTGTGTGTGTAGGAGGGGAGATCGCATTTTGGAGTCCAGCTCTGTGTGGATGAACCAATTTCACTTTATAATCCAGGACAGATGTTTTGTTTAGCAAATCCAGCACTACAGACTAATTTGGAAGAGATTCAGTGTACAGTAACTAAGTAATAATTTTTCAGGGAAGCTGACTTGTTGGCTTATTGTGGGATCAGAATTTAATTTGTAAAGTTCCATGACAGAAGTCAGTTGTTGAGGGAAACATAATCCATAAATATTTATTTCCTTGTTTATTCCATAACAAAATAGAGATAGCCAGCATGTGGAACCTAGGATGGAATTTTATAATTGTAGCATATACCTACATGAAGTAAATCTGAGCATTAAATACCACATTTATGCTGTACAGTAAGGCATATATGTCTGAAACCAAGATTCCTATTTTAAACTTTTAGTTCTTTCACATATGAAATGAAGCCTATGATTTTCTAAAGTATCTGCTTTGTTTTCCTTCCTTATAGAGCAGAAAAATTAATTATTTCCCTGCTTTGATAGATTTGGGTTTTTTTATTATTACTGGTATTTTTAAAAATCTCTGGGTGGCAGAATGCTTTTAGAAATGTATGTGTTTCTAGTCACAAATTATGCTGTGAAATAAGGTGGGTTATAAATGGTGTTTCTAAGGAATTGCTTTATATGTTGTACAGGCCCACTCATGGTGATTGTGGAATATTGCAAGTTCGGAAATCTGTCAGCTTACCTACGGAGCAAGAGGAGTGACTTTGTCCCATACAAGGTAAGAAGTCAAGGTTAAAAAAAAACCCAGTAAAATGTTTGATTTGGTGGGGTTTTTCCATGCACAGTGTTTCTTTTTCTAAAGACTAAAGTGGCAGTCCTTGGGGATGCTGAATATCTTAGTATTTCTCATGGGAATGAGAGATGGCAAAGACATCACAGGTCATCTAGTCTTTCCCCTGGCCCCTGCAATGTAGCTGTTTTGTTATTGTTAGCTTAAAATGTGCAAAGGAACTGGGCTTCCACTATTTCCCTTGGCAGATTATTTTACACTTGGCTATATCTTTCAGGAAGTTTTTTCTGATTATAAGCCTGAATTTTTTCCTCTCTTAGTTAAGCTCCAGACCACCTTAAATAACTGCACTCTCTGTTTAGTGTATATATCCATCAAATATCCATAGGTACCTGCTATCACGTTATTATCCTTTCCGCTGTCCCCTTGTCTCATTGCTGAACCAGGCTATATGTTTCTTTGGTGTTAATAGTTCGGTATAATTGATGTCTCTCATAAGTTTACATTCAGCTTTTCACATCCCAAGTCCTTTGCAAAAGGGAGCTCCAACACTGCACCCCGTCTTTGCACCTTGATTTGAAAGAAGGGCAAGGATGGAGACTGGCACTTTCAGACTCATTTCTGGGCACCTCTAAGAGGGGTCTGATTTCTGCAGAGGGATGAGAGGATCCATTCTTTCAGGGGTGAGATCGCTGGATGAAGAACATGGCTGCGTGTACCCAACGCTGAGCATCACACTCAGGACCCTACCCTTTTCCATGCTCAGCCAAGAGGGAGGTCCCTGGGCTATGCTCTGACACACTGGTAGACCTGAATCTCCCTGCAGCTGCTGTGTTTAGATCAGAGCTTCTCCCTGCTGCTTGTTGGTTCTCCAGGGGGTTATTTTTCTTGATCCTTGGAGATATTGTTTACTATTTTATGTTGGCAAAGGCAACTTTCTGCATCTTCTTGTGAGGTAAAAAGATAAACAAATATCTGAGAGGCCTTGAAGGAAGAGACAGGGTTTCACGAGGGTGCTGACCCTTGCTTACACAAGCAGTGGGAATGGGAATTGGCAGTGTTAAAAACCAACTCTGACAGGGAAAAAAAATCACCAAACCAAAGCAGGAGAAAATGAATATGTGGTGGAGGAAGCCTGCTGGGTTGGATTTCTCCCTAGAGGCATTCAGTGGCTTAGGGGAAGAAGGAAATAACTCAGATTGTGATGACTGCTAGAGTTTTGGCCAAGGTACAGGTTTAGTAGAAGGGCCTTTGCGGCAGTGGGAAGTAAAGCCATAGCAGTACGGAGAGACTGGAGCATATGAGAGGGGCTCAGGAGCGTTCATCCACGAGTGCTTCACAAGGCTGAGGAGGCCAGGTCCTCAGTCTGCATTTATTCCCTGGCATGTGGAGATATTGCTGGAGTTTATCTGGGAAGATGGAAAAGGAGGAGGTGAAATTTGAGCTGTGGAGTAGTAGAGGATGCTCAGGCTGGTGAACCTGTGTGGCCATGGGTTGGGTTTTGCTGGTACTGTCACTGCACCAGCTGGGTGCCTCAAACAGAGCTGGCTTGGAGCAGAGCAGCCGCACACCAGCACTGGGTTGCCCTCCCTGCCTTCAGTGGTGACCTTGGCACAGACCAAGCTTCTGGCACGCTTTCAGCTTTTGATTTTTCTCACCCTCCCCTCATATTTCTAGGCCAAATGCGCCAGGTTTCGGCAGGGGAAAGAGAACTATGTTGGTGACGTCTCTGCAGACCTGAAGCGACGGTTGGACAGCATCACAAGCAGCCAGAGCTCAGCAAGCTCTGGCTTTGTGGAGGAGCGGTCCCTGAGTGACGTGGAAGAGGAGGATGGTAGGATATGTCTTCTCCTGGTGTTGGAACAGATGTCACTGGTGGGGCTGATGAGGGACATTGGGGACTGTGTGATTTCTGAAGCTCCCTCAAAGCTGTGTGTGAGGTATTACCTGGACGACCGAAGTTCCTGAACTTTCAGTTCAGCATCCCAAACCCCTCAGCCCAATCCCAGATAATGTCCCATCTGAAAGGGTGCCTTTTTAATGCACTGCCTTCTGAGGATATGTCTATTTAATGTACCAGTGACTTCAGGGAAAATTGCAGAGCACAAACTCCAAAGGCAGTGCAGAGAGAGATGCACTAGTATGCTAGCTGAATTTCCTCACTGTTTATGCAGAAGTTAAATACTGTGAAACGCTATCTGCTTCACTGCTTATTAGCAGAGAGGTTGCTTTGCCTTCCCTGGGCACAGGTGGTCTGTCTGGAACAGGAAACCAGAATTAACCACTCATTCAGAGTCTCCCTGGGATATACATACCCTCTGCAGTGGTTTCAGCGATGCATTTGCCATGTCCTTCTTTAGCAGAGGCAGCACAAAGTGCTCAGTGCTGCCATCTCAGAGGTCACTAATTTCATCTAGGGGAGGGATCAGACCAGTCAGGAGAAAGAAAGGCTGTAGCTCTACTGACTGTACCTCCACTGCTACTAAATATAATTTAATGCAAATTAAAACATCAGTATGTGAATGGGGAGGATGATCTTGCAGTTTCAATGTGGTCTAATAGGTAATGTTAGGCATGCACTTTATGCATTTCCACACCATTTTGGTTCTCTTTAGTACTCTCTGGTGTAAACATTGACCCTCTAAGCTGGGATATTGTACGAAGTATGTAGACCTGAAGCATCCCTTAGGATGAGGAGCATAGCCACCTGTGTTCTGGTTTTTGGTAGATTTCTGCTTAAAATCAAGAACTGAGCAAAATCATAGAGTTGTTTATTTCAGCAGGAACTAAATGCCTAGATATCTTTGGATATTTGAGTACATTATTCCTCCAGGTCACTAGAGGATGAGGTTAGGGTTCTTCTACCCTACATTAGCTGGGCCTTTTGCCAAATTCAAGTCTTTCTCCCGAAGGCATTTTCTTTCCCTTTAAAAACTAAGAAAACCCTCTCATTCATTTCCAAATTCATCTGCTGAAACCGCAGCAAGCTTTACTGTCCTAGGAACTTGTGAGCTGAGTTTTGGTTGTTTCTCTTTTGGGATTATTTTGCAAATCTTTCCACTGGTGGGAACTCTGGAAATAAGCAAGGAGGCTTAGGGTATAACCCATAATCTCAAAGTTCATTTTACACAAGACCATTTTGGTGAAAAATGGGTTGTTCATGTTGACTGTACAGCCAAAAAACTCTTCCAGTTCAATGTGGCATAAGGTTAAGATGGCATTTTACATAACAAGCAGTTATAGGTGAAATCAGTGACAAAGGGCATGTTTGACTGTCATTTGATTCTTTTCAGCTGGTCCTGAAGATCTTTGCAAGAACCCCTTGACCATGGAGGACCTCATCTGTTATAGCTTCCAAGTGGCGAGGGGAATGGAGTTCTTGGCTTCACGCAAAGTAAGGAACTTCTCAGGAAGGGTGGCGTGTTGTTTATTTGATGGTGGGAAGTAGTGCTGTAGGTCTACAGAAGGAAACAGCATGTTCATCTTTGGACTGGCAGTCATCTGCAACATTTTGCTGTAAGACATACTCAAATCATTAATACTACAGAGTGAAACAGCCCATGCATCTATTGACACAAATGTTAGTGAGCTGCATAAGGCCACCAGTTCACAGAAGAATGGTTAAGCAGTTGGAGGAGGGGAGCTGACTTATATAGATTTTTTTAAAGGAATTAGGGACAAATCCCTGGTAACCGAAGTTAAACAAGAGTAAAGAAGTTTATTCTGAGGAGATTACCTGTACCTTGTACAGTGGGATTGGAAGGGCAATGTGAGGAGAGACGATGCTCACTTATGAAACTTCATGGATGACTCCTTGAAGAGTCTCTTTGCCAAAGACAGCCTGGCAGTCAACAACACCTGAATTTTGGCCTTCTAGAAGTACTTTTCTGTGGTTTGAGCTTTTCTGTGTATGTAGTGCCCACATTTCAAAGGATGTCAGTTCCAGCAAGAGTAAGGAATTGCCTGCAGTTGTATAGAACAAAAAGTACTTAAAAATCACAGAAAGACAGAATATGCTGAGTTGGAAGGGACTCACAAGAATCATTAAGTTCAACTCCTGGCCTAGCACGTGATCACCCCAAGAGTTACACCATGTGCCTGAGAGTATCATCCAAACACTTCTTGAACTCTGTCAGGCTTGGTGCTGTGATCACTTTCCTGGGGAGCCTGTTCCAGTGTCCAACCAACCTCTGAGTGAAGAACCTTTTTCTAATACCTAACGTAAATGGGAAAAGAAAATCGAAGTGGGGAATACATCACTGCTCTAGAGTTTGGGATAGATATTCAAGAGTAGACTTCAGTCTTTTCATAAAAACATGCTTTTGTTTAGCTTTCATACATCCTGACTGGTGTGCACATGTAAAAATGCCTCTTTCCAGAATCTGCAGTTTTAGTTCATACTAGAGGTAAATCTGCAGCCACTTTCAGATCCTGATTCTTTTACTTCAAGCTATTGAGGTTTGACTTTTGAAGTCTTTGGGTTGTTGACTATGCTGTTGTTTTGCACAGGTAGAGATGTGGACTTCTTTCTCTGTAGTCAAGATTAGCTTGTGTTGGAATCAAGTCTGCCTTTTAGTGGGCTGTTTTTCTGAAAAATAGTGGAGTACACAGATTTGAGTGAACCTAAGTAAATCTAAAGGTAATCAGATCTGAAGCTGTTTTGTGTCAGCTGCTTAGGATAATTAATTAGACAACTTCAAAGGCCTTCTCTGCATAGTGGATAAACAGATGCATGTTTGGACTTGGGAATACAAGTCTCCCTGAGCCAAATCAGTTGTGACCATCAAAAAAGCACTTAAAATCAGCAAGTGTTGATGCTGAGGTTTCTTTTTCTTAAAGGTTTTAAGAATTAGCTGGCCTTTGACGGTAGAGCAGCACATATGTGAAAGACATCAGCCTTGTGGACAGAGCTGTGACAACAGGCAGCATATGAAGTTGTTTACTTCTCTTTGCAGTGCATCCACAGGGACCTGGCTGCTCGTAATATCCTCTTGTCAGACAATAATGTGGTCAAAATCTGTGATTTTGGCTTGGCTCGAGACATCTACAAAGACCCAGATTACGTCAGAAAAGGAGATGTAAGTTTCAGATTCTCTGTTCAATAGAGAATTAATATGAAGTCAGGACTTTTTTCTGTGTTTCCCTCGAATGAGTTTGTGGAAACTCAGTATTTTGCTAAATTGTGATACATTTTTGTTTATGAAAATGCTTTCAGGCCAGACTACCCCTAAAATGGATGGCACCAGAAACCATTTTTGATAGAGTATATACCATTCAGAGTGATGTATGGTCCTTTGGAGTTCTGCTGTGGGAAATATTTTCATTAGGTGAGTCACTTTAATTTTACTGAGCCATCTTTAAACAATACTGTATGAAGAAAATAGTCAAAGTGTTCTAGGATCCTCTTTAGTATTTTCTTTTACTTCTTGAAAAAATCCTGTATATTTTTCTCTATCAAAATAAAATACTCAGATTTTCTTTAAATTGCAAATGTAGGAACATTGACTTGAAATGTTTCTTCATACAATTTCAGTAGGTGATGATGTGCCTCATTTACTCAATCAGTTGCTGTTCTCATCACAAATATAAATTGTTTACACATCCAAATTGTCTTATGAATTATCTTATTAACCCAGGCCATAGCGAGTTATTTGTTTGAAAATTAATCCCAAAATTTAAGAGTCTAATGCATTAAAATTACTGTTGCTTTCATTTTAGGTGCATCACCATACCCTGGAGTGAAAATCGATGAGGAATTTTGCAGAAGACTGAAAGAAGGAACAAGAATGAGAGCACCAGACTATACAACACCAGAAATGTGAGGAACTGTTCTTCCAGCTACTCACATTTACCCTACAATAGTAGCAGATGCTGGAGCAAGCAATAGGTGATGTTTTATTTATGCTGATTTGTTTTTTTTTCCTTCTAGGTACCAAACAATGCTGGATTGCTGGCATGGAGATCCTAAACAGAGACCCACTTTTTCAGAGCTGGTAGAGCACCTGGGAAATTTACTGCAAGCCAATGTCCGTCAGGTAAATGAATTGTATTCACTGGTTACTAAAAACACCAGCTGAACACCTCCTGCCCTACCAGCCACCACATCATCCCATAGTTGGGTACTGTCTGCTGGAGCTGTCAGGGAGCCTGGGCTTGTTCCATCACTCCCATTACTGACCAGCAGTTGGGTCTCTGACTTGCAGAGAATACTTGTAGGGTAAAGGTCCCAGAAGCTGTGTTGTGTTAACCAAAAGCCATCCTGTCCTGCCAGCAAGGGCCTCCCATGACACCACTGCTGTCTTGCTAGAGAGCTGCTGGCACAGGCTCAATTCCCTGCTCTGCTGATGATTTCTCTGCATGCTGCAGACACATTTCAGCAGGTACCTCCTGTTGATCTTACTGTGCCAAAGATGGATATCTTAGTGTATGTGAAGGGTGTGGGCTGCAACACTTTTAATGACTATCCTGGAAAACAAGGATACAGGAATTTCACTGCCTGTGAGCAACTCCATGCAAATTAATGTGTTAAGACTTGTCCTGGGTGCAGGCATCGCAGTAAAAGAGCTCAGTGCGACCAGGTGGGGTACATGGGCCTCTCTACCAGGTTCTCTACCTTGTAGCTTCCTCTTCATTTACTGTGGAAGGGGACAAGGCCAGGGCAATAGATATGAACCCACTGGATGAAGGACACTGGATTTGGCCATGTGCTTCCCTATTAGACAAGTTCTCCCTTTCTAACCTACTGATGATGATGGTAATCACCTGCCCTTACGAACTATCAGGTTCATGTACTTTATGGTATTGGGAGACAAACATTACTATAATCTGTATTTTTTTTCAAAGACATCAATAAAAGGTTCAGTTTATACATTATGTTACAGTATATTATATAAATTTTTTTTTTTTTTTTTTATTTAAAACTACTTGGAAGTGGTTCTTATTAAGTTTCCTTTTTTTAATGTAGCTGCTCCTGCAAAGGTGTTATAATGTTCATGGTTTAATAAAACAACCAGAGTAGCACTGTTGATCTGATGCATTCTCCACATACGTGCATGTAGCTGTTTTTGTTTGTGTGTCTCTGTAGCCTATTTAATTTTTGTATTTTTTTCACTGCATTCTACAGGATGGTAAAGACTACATTGTCCTTCCTTTGTCAGTATCGCTGAATATGGAAGAGGATTCAGGTCTCTCTCTCCCAACTTCACCTGCTTCCTGTAGGGAGGAAGAGGAAGTCTGTGATCCCAAATTCCATTATGACAACACAGCAGGAATTAGGTATTTTATATGGTGGACATCCTACTGGGGCCTCTGTGTTTTGTTCATATGGGGGGCAGGGAAAATGAAAGGAAGAGACTTCAGCTGCCTGGTCCATATTTAACCTTCTCCATACGGATAAGAAGGAATCTGTAGAGATTTTCTAGGCAAAAGCTAGTTTCTTACCTTCCCCAAATGCTAGTGGCTTTTTTATCTATTTTTAATGTTGCTACCCTTTTAAGATATTGTATTCTCATTTAAAAAAGAAAAAACAAAAAAAGCGAGAATATTTGCTGTTTGTTTTTTAAGAACCAGAACACAAAAAAGGTTTTACTGGTCCAATTCAGTTGTGTTCATGCTCTTGTGTTGCAGCTCCCTAGAATATTAATGGTGATAAATCTATCATTAATAACCTCTCTGGCATTTCTCCTCCTAAAGTGAAATGTTGGAAAATAGGTCATGAAATGATAGCCAAGGAGAACATAACATAAATAGTGTTGTCTCTGGGTTTTGTTCACTTGCTTCTGGTGGGCTGCTGAGGCAGCCCCAATGGAACAATAGCGGTGGATGCTGTTGGGTATCATGGCAGAGGTGATTCCTCAGTAAGGAGTTTGTACTAATGCACTGAAGGAGCTTATGTTGGACCCTTTAAGGACCTCAGACATGGGATGAGAAGGAGAAAGATATTTTCTTATCCAGTGCTGCCTAAGATCAAATTCAGCCATTTAGATGCTGGGATCCCCAGATTGCTTGATACAATCTCAGAAGTAGGAGGATAGAAAGAGGTGGATACAACCATCAGGGCGGAGATGAATTCTGTTGGCAGATTCCATGTGGTTTCCATGAAGTGGAGCCCTCTCTCTCAGTGTTTGTATTATACCCACCAAAGACAAAGTTCCCAAAGATTTTGGGGACTGCGAGGTGACATTTTTATGTGGTACTGGAAAAGACTAGGTAGGGCACACTGCATTTCACACTTCAGTTAAACTTATGGTCCTACAGCTGAACTCTCAACCCCGTGTTTTAGTAATGGGACAGTTTAAACTATAAATATTTAGAAGACAACAAACCATGATTTAACGCTGAAAACATCACACTTATTTTCCACTTCTAATACTTCCTATATGGCTTTTCCTGGTCTCCATTTCCTGTTATGAACAGAAATAAAATCCCTCTGCCAACCTTTTAAGGAGACTGAATCTCCTTTGTCTTGTCTTGCAGTGTGACAGGGTTGTGAAAGCACTAGGGGAAACCATGCTAGGAGAGGCAAAGTGGAAAGGTTAAGACTTGTCTGTGGGCTTTATTCTTTCATTCTTGTAGCTGAAAATGATTTTACAGGCATGGATCTTAGTATACAGATAGTGAAACAGATTGATCTCTTCAGAAATGTCTTTTTCAATCTTCACAGAAGTATTAACTATGAGGAAAGGCTGATTAATACAATTTCTAAATCAAAGCTGGAGGAGGAAAGCAAGCACAGGGAAACATGGAGAATACTAAAGAATATTTAGATTGATGTAAATGAAAATCAGTGGGACCTCCTAACATCTGTTGTATTTGGATTAGAAAATAGATCTGCAATTTCTGAACCTTGAAATATTGTGATTAAGAAGTTACATGAGGTATAGAAGATTTAGTGTAAAGATAATGCCTGCTTTTAGAAAGAACAGAAAATGTGTAGTTCTTAAATCAGTTTGATTTGAATTCTACCAACAATCCTGGAATAAGCAATCATATAGATAACAGTAAATGCCTACAGGAAAAAGAATTAACTAAAAACGGCCAGCATGGATTTGTCAAGAACAAATCAAGCCAAACAAATCTGAGTTTCATTTTTAGTGAGAATAATTGGTCTAGAGGATAGCAGAGAAGATAGATTTTGATTTCCTCTAGGACATGTCAGGAAATACTGTCAGGACATCAGCTGAACTCTTACTGCCACCGGACAGGAGTCAGACTCCATGCATGGCCTCTTTCTGTCTGCACACTATTTCTGGTCCTGTTTGCACAATTGTTTGGCTTAAGCAGGAGGATCTCATTCATTGCAGTCTTGTAGGCTGACTCTTGTCTGGGATGAGCAGAGGCAGGTTAGATACTACTGCAGAGTAACAGGAGCAGAAGACATGGCCAGTGCAGAGAGCTTGAAATAACTGGTTTTGTTAAGTCTAGGAAGAGAAAATGCAGAGGGAACATAGTAACAGTTTTCAGAACATGAAAATTTGCACCAAACAGGGTGCTAATTAGTCATTCTGTGTCACCAGTATTAGGACAAATTTTATTTGCAGCAAGTACGTGGGTTTAATATTTGAAAAACATTCTTAAGTGTGATTGAGCACCTGAACAGGCTACAAATGGAACTTGTGAAATCTTCACCAGTTTAAAAGAATGTCTGTTGGAGATGGGCAGGACTCAGCATAGCTAGACTCAAAGCTGGGAAATATGGCTAATGATGCTCTTAATTTCCCTTTGCCCTTCAAGTGGATGCAGGTTACACTTCTACCTCTATGGCTTTCATTAGCTGTTAAGAATATAAATTTGTCCTATTTAACTGGGACAACATTAATTTTATTCCATATTCACTTAGGCAGAAAGCTGAGGGTAGCCATTTTGTTTGCTCTGTTAGTACCTCCATAAATGTCAATTTTTTTTTTTTTTTTTTTTTTTTTTTGTGTGTGCAATATTTTTTATGGATGTCATCCTGACCATTTTGGAGAAGAGCTTTCAAGAGAGATGTAGCACTCCCTGTCCTGATCCCCACGGTTTAAGGGCAGCAGTCTGCTGAGTCTGCTGTTGTTGTCCTAGGTCCAGCCAGGGGTCTCAGAAGTGCAGTCCAAAGGAAGAGACACATGTCTGTGCTCCAGGCTCCTCTGTTTATTGTACTTCTAAGCAAACCTTGCAGGAAGTGAAGCCCTCCAGTGTAACTGAGGAAAGAAGCTGTTTTCTCAAAGCCATTTCTTAGAATTTGCTCAGAGATCAAGATTGTCAGGAGCAAAAGGTCAGAAACATGCCATTTCTTAGGCTGTTCATCCTTTTCAATAAATGGATATTTGAAGGTTTGCATAATATGTTTTGACAAAAGGATTAACTTCTCTGAAGAGAGATAAAAGGATTCTGATATCATTGTACTGTTTGCAGCCAAGTTGTGGTCAGTGGACACAAAACTTTTTTGTTTTGTTTTCTTTGCAGTCAGTACCGACAAGGTAGCAAGAGAAAAAGCCGCCCTGTGAGTGTGAAAACATTTGAAGATGTCCCATTGGTAACCACTGTAAAAGTCGTTCAGGAGGTGAGTTTGTCTGTTTGTACATATTTTCTTCTGTTGATATCTTTTTTTCATGTTTTTAATCCTCTTCCATTTAATACATTTCTAATACCTTTGCAGGAAAACCAGACAGATAGTGGGATGGTTCTTGCATCTGAAGAGCTGAAGACACTGGAAGAGAATGATAAACAAGTGAAAATACCCTTTAGGTAAGGTGCAGGCTACACATAGGATTGAGTATGACCTTTTAGCTGCAGTCTGTCAGAAGGCTGGTTTGTTTGGAAGACAAAATCTTTTCTTAATATACTTTTAAAAACAAAGCAAAATTGTGCACTGTATGCCTGGTCATCCACATTTGGTACCAGGAGAGGAGAGGTAACTTCACTGTTGGGAGCATCAGCCAGCACCCAGAAAGGACTTGCTGCAATAGCATCAACCACCCTTTGGAAATACTGACTTGGTACACACAACTGAGCCATATTTGTGAGGGCCTGTCTGAACTGACAAAGAGCTAGTTTTTTTCCTTGCTTTTTCTTTCTTTCTTTTTTTTTTTTTTTTTTAAATAGCTGACTCTTTGCAAGATGTACCTGGGTGTATTTTCAGAGTATTGTACAGGGGTTTAATTGTGCAGTTCGCGGGAAGCACAGTGGTGTTCATGAAGCTGGAACCTCACATATGCTCTCTGAGACCTTCTCAGGAATTATTTTCTTTCCAGGGTAACTTCACTGTGGACAAAGATATACTGCAGTTATAATTGCACCACTGCTGAAATAAAGCCTCTAAAAGTTTTCTCTCCATTTCATCTGTGGTCACAATCTAACTCCTCGTATCATCATAAAATTAAACATCTTTTTCATGTGTTAGTGAAATTAAGACATATGAAAAGGTCTCTCCCTACAATCAAATGCATGTTTAAAAAGGCCTGAAGCCAGGCTTGCTAAGTGCAGCGTTTTGCTTTGGTTGTTGCTGTGATGGAAAGCAGCTGCCATCAGGAATCGCCCACCTGCCCTTCAGAAGACGGTCTCCACAGCTCTCTCAGTCCTGTTTCTGCTTGTCTTTTTGCAGCACGCTGGTGCCCAGCAAGAGTAATGAATCCGTTATGTCCGAAGCCTCCAACCAGACAAGCGGGTACCAGTCGGGATACCACTCGGATGACATGGACACCACGGTGTACTCCAGCGAGGAGACCGAACTCCTGTGTGTGCGGGAGGCCTCTCCCCCGCTCTGCCGCGCTCACGGCCTCGCCTACGACGGCCCCGCGCCACTCACCCCCCCGCCTCTCTAGGGCCAGCCTGGCAGCTCCAGGTCCCCCTGGGATGTGCCTTCACTGCCTGGGCTGGCAGCGTTCAGGTTTGATGTATAGAAAGACAGCATCCACGGGACTAAGAAAAGACATTTGTTTTTCCTGAAGAGGATGCAGAAGCAGCTGGCAGCATAACTGTGCCACGCCAGGCTGGGGGTTCTTTTCTCAAGAGATGGTGGTGGCTGAGGGTGCAAAGCCCCAGCCACAATGTGTGTGCTGTGCCGACCCTGTGGCAGAGGCAGACCCTGGTGATATGTCAGGCATCTGCCTAATGCAGGCAGCATCACTGCATTCAACATAACTGTTTCTACTTGTACGAAATAATGCACAGCCCTGCTTTTAGTTTTTGGTTGGTTTTTTTTTTGTTTGTTTTTCCCTTTTGTGGCTGGACTCCAGGAAGGAAACAGTGCGGCACCGGCTTCTTGTTTCTCAGAGTTATTCCTTGCTTGTACCTTCACAAACAAAAAAAGGAACATCCAGCTCAAGGTTCTGGCACCCACTGACGGCCTGAGACTAAACATAGGCTGGGCTAAATATAGGTCAGGATGATGGTCTCTGTCCTTGGCTAAGGAAAAAGGTTGCCTTACAAGACCTCATGAGCCGCATTTGCTTGCAAGACTTGTGTGGTGAAGTTGGTTAGTAGGGAGAAGGCAGAGCATTGAGCCAATTGATGGAACACAGGTGGCAGGGCCATGCCCTCACCTCTGGGTGAGGATGGGTCTGCCCCTGGTCATCCCTGGCACCCTTGACACATGCCAGATGCCTACCTGCTTCTGAGCTAGCCTGTAACTGCTGCAGAAAATACTCTCCTCCCCCCAAATCACCAGTTGGGCAGCCTCTGCAACAGGTAGAAAAGCAAATGTAATCTACCTTAGGACCACAGGAAGCTCTGTCGTTCCGGTGGTGGATCCTAAGGGCATCCTACCTTCTTGTCTCATCCCCCCTCCCTCAGATTTAGGTCTGACTCTTTCTCTTTGCAAACTGTAAGTCTGTTTGCAATGTCAGAGATATCAGTTTATGTAGCCTTGGGAATACATGACTGGTTTCATGGCAGCTCCGATCTTCTCCGAGTGGTGAAACTGTGCCTAATTGTTGGACAACTTCTTACCTGTGCTCTTGTAGTCCCAGAACTTTATTGATAGACATAATGCAGACTACAGGATTTTAAAATGTAAAGCTATTTCTACTGAAGTTTTTTGTATTTTTATAAGTATTTTTTTGTTTGTACTTACTAAAATGTCAAATGCCGGGAACTATAAATATAAGGCATATACAGTATTTATAGCCTCTTTATGTAGAAATAAATGTAATATATTAAAATATAAATATATATTATATAATGGATACTGTACCATTCACATTTTGTTGTGTTCTGTAGCATTGCAAAGGTTACAGAATTCTTTAATCCCTAAAACTTTTCACTTTATTAAAAGGGACTGGAAATTTAGAGTTGGATGCTACAAAAGATCTGTTTGCTTTTCTTATATACTTTCTATTGACAGGGAAGATTACAAAGTTCTACTTATTTCAAATGCCATTAGGTGAATCTAGTTTTTTATACCATCGTCCAGGTCTACGAACATTTCGGTGGGTATGTGTAGTAAAGAAGCTTCAGTGACTTTTAGCAATTGTCAATACCTTTAGAGAAACGATCAGAGGAATGGACTGCTTGTACAAGATGATAATAATAAACTCTGAAAGAGTTTATTATGTTCAGTTAGGAAATGCTTTATCTAATTGTATTGTGGATTTTGCCTGGGGAGTGGCAGTTTCCCTTAAAGCCTTATTCATCTTTTCCCACTTGTGTTTCTTCCAGCTCACTTCTCACAACTTAAATGTTGTCCCTGCTCTTGTGCAGTTAAGTCCTCCTTTATTTTAAATCTGTACTTAAAGCTCTCACCCTTTCCCTCTGTTGCCCACTTTTTGACTTTCTCTTCTGCACTGTGTAGGTCTTTGTTCTCAGTGCAAGGTATTGCACTGTTGGGGTATCAGGACTCAAAGAATTATAACATCTTGTAGTAAAGTACAAGTGAAGTTAAGCCACCAACTGCAGACTTTAAATCAACTTCTCTTTATTGCAGTTTTAAAGTAGACCTTTGTAGGCTACTGCACAGTGAGAACAGTTATCTAGGAGGCAGGAGATCTCAATGCTAAACTCTTCTCAAGCTGAATGTGGAATTAATATGGGATTAATACCTTCTACACACAACGTGCATCCCCCAAATACGAGGCTGTGGGATGTCAAACTTCAAATGTTTCTCCATTCCTTCTCCTAAATCTAAACCATTTTATAGCCAGGAAATTAGGAGATGGGAGGTCAGGCAGAAAAAAACGGGAGAGGCTTCCTAGGACTTCTGTAAGGGCTTCTAGGAAGGACTTGTATTTTCATGGAGATATTCGACATTTTTCTTGCTTCCCAGGCAACAGTGTAGCCAGTAGAGTACGCTCAACAGACAATGCTACAGTCTTTAACATTCCCCCTCTGCAATAGTCTAAAATATCTTTAATGAAACTGTTCTTCTATGTATTATTATTACTATTATACAGTGGACATAAAATACTGACATGGGCAGAATCTTGATGAGCCACCTATTAGACAATCCTGGCAGTGAGGTGGAGATGGAGATCTATCACTGATATCCATCTACCCTACACCTGGACTCCCCAAGGTTTGGGATGTTCAACTTAAATATCTCATTTTTTATTTTTGGTTCCTCTCCAGCTTGGTGTAATACAGGATACATGCAACATACATGGAGTCAGATGCTTCTCTGTGTGTTTGCAGTACTTCCAAAACAGCTGTCCACTGTAATGCAAAGTGATGACGTTGCAAGATAGCCATTTCAGCTAGTGAGTTCCCACTTATAATCCTTGTCAGCTAGTGAAACCCTCTTGTGGATCTAAATAATTTTAAATATGCCTGCAAAATGTGGGAACTAACAGACCTGCTTTAGGAAAGGAAGTTAGCTTCTTTAAAAAACAACTAAAACCAACCCACACCATATATTCAGTGTCAGGAGCTAGCAAAGGCTCTATAAATGTGTTCATATATTTGGCATCCAGTAACACAATTCTTTTCTTAGATCACAGTTGTTACATCCTTTAAAACACCTGGACTTTTTGTTGTATTCTGAATACAGCACGTTCAGCTAAACCCTAGTCATGACACATCTGTCTTTGAGATGCCTTAAATTCCAAAAAGGATATTTTTAATGAAACAACAGAGGTATACTGCACAGATTTGCAAATGCCTCCACAAACCAGTCCTAGCTTTATCTCTATTCTGCAGCCATGCAGTTAAGTGTCAACATTTGGATCAACATCCTTACCTATGAAATCCAGCCTGGCTCCGAGCCCAATGAGCTACAAATAGAAGGGACATTTGTGAGATTATGGATCCAAACATGTCACTCCAAGCAGCTGGGAAGGACTGGGAAGCAGTGATGGAACTGACTCCTCGGTTCAGAAGAACTACCAGAATGAACGGTGATTGCTGGCGCATTTGGACATGGAAATCAAGCAGAGCCATGCCAGAAATAGGCAGTTTCAGAGCTTGACGATGACTCATGCCAGCTCTTGCTCATGTAAACATGGCCCACCTGAAGAACACAGGGGCGTTCAAGTATGGTAGGTAGGTCCTTCTCCCTGCAAAAGATACTGTGAAATGTATCTCATTCTTTGTGTGGAAATGTCTTGGCAAATTGAGCCCTTGCCTAAGTTTTTCTTATTAATGCACCTCGAATTGCAAGCAAGTGCATTTCACACAAGAATAAAAGTATTATGATGATACTCCATATCTTCTGATGTGGTCATCCCTAAAGATCATGTTGGGATTTTTGGGACAGTGTGCTTGTTAATTCTGAAAGCATTTTGTGACTAAAAGAACTACACAGAGCTGTTGACATTGGGGATGAAAATTTCCTCCTAATGGCATCTCTTTTTGATGGTGCTAGGTCTGCAAAACACAACTGGGTAGCATGGATAGCCTCTAGATATGAAACTCGCTATTTTTATGTGAAACATTCCCAAACCATGAATCATCTGAGGTTTCCCCTCATCACTGATACTTGAGTACACACCCTTGTTACCTCACAGTATGGGACCTCACAAAGCAACAGCAAGGGCAAGAAAAACAAAGTTAATGTTTGTTCTTCCTAATCGACAAATTTATTAGGCACAAAAGTTAACCAACAAAGAACTTTTCTTTGGACTTCAGCCCTGGATTTTTATTCTGTCTGGCTGAGTGTTGCATTCTATGTCATAATATATGTCCTCAGCTTCTCAACCTCTGACATTTGGACTGATTAAGTCCTAGAAGGTCATTCGGAAACATGGCAGGAGCTTGTAACATATGGTGATGATAAACATCTCAGCATCAGAGATAAGGAGCTGATCAAGGAAGCTCAGGTTTTGTTGCCATAAAACTACACATTGTAAAGCCTAATCCCTACATAGCTTTCATTAGATGGTAAACATATCAGAATCATGATGAAGGGTGTTCTGGTTACCTAGATGTTGTTCACTGACTGCCATTGGTCAGTTAAAACGTGAAGTATCTCTGCCTTGCAGCTTGTTAGGATGATGTGTTATGGTGAATGATGGCTGCTCTGGAAGTTTTGGGGTGAGGGTGGCAGAAGTGAATGAGTTCAATTTCTGGACCCACCTGTAGTGTCAGACACAGCCTCTGGTGCCAGGTAAAATGGCAGCACCATGTGGTTTCCTAAGTCCTGGTAAAATAAAAGACTTTCTTAAAAGGTGGAATATATGAAATTAAATCTAAATCTCTCTTTCAGGGAGAGCTGAAGCTGTTCAGCGCTCTGCAGAGCTGTTCCCTGGGCTCCATGCTGCTCCCTCTTTCAGTATTGTCATGCTAAGTGGCATAATTAGCCACGGTTTCACAAAAGCAAGTGGAAATGTAACTACTTTTATTTCTCTTGGTCTGTTTTCACACTACAGTCAGAGGCATGATTGCAACAGATTGTAGATAGACATAAGGTAGTTTTCATCCTGCCAAGCTTAGCAGCAGTACCAGTGAGGGTTTGGCAGCCTGGACTTCTGCTTGGCACAGCACTGCCCCTTGACAGTGGGGCACACAGCAAAGTCCCCGATGCTGGCACCAAGCTCACTAGCAGAAAGGTAGCCTCAGGATAACCTCTGTATGTGCTGAAGTCACACTTTCAACTGCAGCATCTCCACATTTGGGAGTAACCAGAGGGATGCATGTCATATCTGATTACTGGAATTTCTTGCACTTCTGAGTGGACCCCACTAACCCCTGATTATACCTGTGTCATGCACAGCAGCAGCAAATATTTTTTGTCATGTTTCATCTCTTTGGTTCCACAATGTCATTCCTGCAATGCATTCCCAGACTTGGCTGAGGCTGAAGGTTGCAGACCCCAGATCTATAGGCCATGGTTAACTCTGCAGCTGATGGGAACCAGCAGGAAGTGGCGGCTTTGGTTTTGGGACTGGCACTTTGCTTAGCAGTGATGCATTGCATGGAGCAGAGGAGAGGAGCGAAAGGCTAAAAGAAAGTTTTAATGATTGTGTGTGTCCTTTTCAAATATCCATAGGTCCTTATACTGAAGAGTTGTGCTTTAGCATCAGGAACTGAAGAAGAGCAAAGGTGTTTTGCTCATTAGAGACCTTCAAGTTGCACTGGGAGATGAGAAGACCAGCATTGCTTACTGCTAGTTATGTAGAGGCTCCTTTATAGTGCATATTTAATGCAGAAATAGGGCTCCTTTACTCCTAGGTAGGATAATTACTAAAGTTTTCTGGGGTTTCACTTGCACACTTGCAGAGTGCTCCATTTATTACTCTGTTCACCATGTTCGGGCTATGGTTTAAGAGCAAGGCATCTGAACCAGCAATGGACCCTTATGTTTAATATCCTTTGATGGGTTTTCCACTTGCTTTTTGAACTCGTGTGTCACCCTTAACATCTGCAACATCCCGCAGCAAGGACTTTTTGCATGCAGATTTTGACTTGATGGCCCAAGCTATTTTCCAGTTCACTGACCAAGTCTTCCCTCATTTTCTCCATGTTACTTAGGACTTTATGGACAGCTATACCCCCAGTCCCTTCCTTTCAAGTCAGAGTATTCCTAGCCCATAGTAAAATCTGTTTGCATCTCCCCAAACCTATAAACAGGGCCCCTTGCTGAGGTGACACGTCTGGCACCGTTCCCAAGCAGGTCTCCGCAAGATACCCAACTTCCTTTGGGAGGAAGGAGTGTGTGGGACAGTCAGCAGAGGACCGTATTTTGTCAACCAATTCGCGTGACGGATGTACCGCAGCATTGGCAAACATCAGTCAATGTCAAGATCCGACTTTGCCGGCATCTTCTCAGTGTTGCTATTTTTGGCCAGTGGAAAGTTTCCAGGGGTTGGGCTGGACCTGTCTCCTGTATGCAGCGTTGTCCTGTTCCCAGGCTATTTGCTCTGGCTCCTGGCTGGCTGTGGGGAAGGATAAGAAGCAGAAGGCAGAGGTTGTATGGCTGAAACACGGCACAAACAGGAGCACTATTTACCACCATGAACCAGCAGAACAGAGGGAAAGCAGGGCCTATCTTATCAGTTACTCGCTGAGTTAAGACTCGGGGGTATAAAAACTCTCTTTAAACTATGGGTAATACCCATAAACAGAGCTCTTACGAGATAACTTCATCAGCAGAACTTTTTTTGGTGCACTTATGTGTAATTTTGTATTACAATCACAAAGACATCTTTATATTGTCTGATAAAGTTCTTAAACTGGCAACAACTATTTAGCATAACAGTTTAGTTAAGTACTAAAGCAGCAGAAAGCATGCAGCTGAAGCGATAGAATTATTAATATATGTAATGATATCAGAACAATGGCTTCAGCCATTTCAAGCCTGCTCTTGGCCTAATGTTCCTAATTTTTCAGGAGGATTATTAAGTTTTATTAGCAATTTGCATCTCAGTATAATTATATGGCTATTAGAGAAATCAATATTGTGTAACATAGAGTCCCTTAAGAGCTATACTGTTTATGGAGTCTGTAATAGGGCCAGCTTTGAAATCAGTTAAGGAGAATCTTTATAATTCTGCTGGAATTGGGTTTTGCATGATGAGATCGATGTCTTAGACATTGAAGAAAAGGTTGCAAAATCTGTTCTCAGTCTTAAATCTTTGCATTCAATTGACAATATTACAAGTGAATTGAAGAAAATCATGGTTGTATGTTTAAAAATCTTCCCCCCCATTCCAACTATGAAACTTCATTAAAATTCCTGACCACTACCTGGCTTTCAAGCAAATTAAAATACTCATGTAAATATGTATATTCAAATCACTATGCCATAAACAGGATTCTTACCTACTGTAAAAATTCACTGATCTAAGGTGAAGAACTGTTTGTCACATAAGTTTCTGTGACAGATTCCTCATCTGAATTGATGAAGTGCTTTTTGTTTTTCATTATATGGTGCTTTTTCTTTTCTAAGAGCATTTCCTTAGATAAGTTTGGGCATATGACAGTCAATCAGAGCTTAAATGTCATGGTAAAAAATGCAAAGTACATCAAGGCAGCTTTCATTTCACAAGCTGTACTTGCAGTATACATAATCTCAGTATCGCTCAGTCCAGCATTTCTATGACACTTACTCTGACATTATGTGGAAATGTCATGAGAAGAAACTGCCCTATCTTGGCTTAGGACTCTCAAGTTTAATTCTTACCCCAAGTTGTGTTAGGTTTTTGTGCTAGCAAGGACAGAGCTGACTGAAAACAAATTGGTGTGGGGTTATTTGGTTGGTTGGTTTTCTCAGGTTACTTTGAACTCAAACAACTCCCAGGATGCAGTTTGCTGAGCACCACAGCTATGTGGTAGCTGTAGGAGCGAAAGCTGTGGGTGCTGGCAGTGGTGGAGAGGCACAACTTCATTCCTTCCTCCAGTTAACACTGCTTGTGAAACTAAAACTATTGCAGCTTTTTCCTGAGGTAGCACAGTGTGGCTGTGTGGCTGTGAACTGCAAATGCGGGAGAGTCACCCACTGCTCCCATCCTGAGATATTTTTTGAAATGGGAAGGCATCTTTCCCTGTTCACTATGTATTGGTTTCTTCTTCACTGTCTGAAAGGATTTCAAGCAAACTTGGAGATATTCTTTCAGATATGTGAAAGTCCTCATCAAAAGAGTTCTCTCCATTTCTTTTGACTGTGTTACAGAGAATAATACAGAGAATAGATAATACTTTGCTAGCTACTCACATAATTTGTGTCTCTCAGAAAAAGAAGAATTGTATGGAAAAAACGTTTTCTACCTCTCCCAGCATAAGAACTAGTGAGAGTGAGCTGCAAATACATCAGTATAGTTTTCATCCACGCTCAGTAAACCCGTGAAATTCTTTTGTTAATACTCACATAGGTTCAGAAAACTGTTGCGCAAATTAAAGGAAGAAGGGAGCATTCAGACATATTAAAAATATAAGATACCATCACAAGTGAAGGAAATCTCTGAGCTCCAAATTGTGGGAAACTAAGACAGGGTGTTTGTGAGAAGATTTCTATGTCCTTATCCTGCTCTTGTACTGTTCCTTTGGCTTCCACTATTGACTGCTAAGGCTGGAAGGGTGCTTTGGTATACTGTAATATGACCCTCCTGATGTTTTTATAAGTAAACTTGTAAGCTCTTGTAGTTACTGTCTTGAGTCATTAATTGTCTGTAAGAG